GGATTGATTATGGGGAGTTGTTTGCCCCTACCTCTCGTGGTTCGTCATTACGTGCTTTATTAGCAGTTGCCGCAGCGCGGGACATGACGGTACACCAGCTAGATGTGTCTACTGCGTTTCTGAATGGTGAGCTAAAGGAGGAGTTGTGGATGGAGCAACCGCCTGGGTACGCGTCCAGTGACCGGTCGCTTGCGTGCAAGCTGCAGAAGTCTATTTACGGTTTGAAGCAGGCACCCCGTTGCTGGTATGAGAAACTATCAGCAGAGTTCGCCAAGCTGGGTCTTTATCCTTCGAAGTCTGATCCGGCGATGTTTGTTAAGACGGACGAGCGTGGGGTTGTTATTGCTTTGGTGCACGTAGATGATACAATTGTTGCGTCGGAAGACCCGGAAATGGTCCGGGCAATTAAAGCTGCAATTGCGAAGGTCTTCAAGGTGCGCGACCTTGGAGAAGCGAAGGTGTTTTATGGCATGGAAATTAGGAGGGAGAAGTCGGGTGAGATAGTGTTGTCGCAGCATAGGTATATTGTGCAGCTGTTGGAGCGTCATAGGATGATTGACGCCAAGCCGAGGTCTACCCCTTTGCCTCCGGGCTTTAGGTACACTCCTAAGGGGGACGGAGAGGAGCTGCTGGGCAATCCCACGGAGTATAGGGCTTTGGTGGGAGAATTGAACTATCTGGCGACGAACACGCGGCCTGACATTTCATATGCATTGGTCTGGTCTGGGTTGACACTACTGCGATTCGCGGTTTAAGGTCCTGAGTTCGATTCCTGGGGAGACCCCCGAATTAGTCGGGAGCGCGAGATTATGGCTAGCTGCTGAGATGTGGAGTTGAGGTCGCAGTTGATGGACCAGATTCGCACGCTGGATTGGTGGCGATTGCCGAACCCTCCGTCTCTTCGGTTGTTCGGGTGAATGGATGAGGAGGGGTCCTAGACGGCTGGACCCGCCGCCTTGGACTTACAGTTCGTATGGCGAAGTATAGTGTGGTAGTGGTGGATGGTGCTATAAGATGATAAATCGTAGAACTGACAATGTGATAAAAGCGGCCCAGAAGCCTCCTACTCTGTAACATAACACAT